CCGAGGCTCCAGGCTGTCCCGCGGCGGTCCCGCGGGCCCGCCGCCGCCCCCCCCTCCCCGTCTGGCGGCGCGCCGGAGCAACCCTGGGCAAGGGGAGCGGCCTCTGCAGAGGCCACTCCTAAGGGACTCAGCAAAGAGACTCACTGACTCAGTGACCCAGGAGCTGGGACTTGCCAGTGCCTTCGCCAAGTTTTGCAAGTCAAAGTAAGCCTAAGCAAGTCCCCCGCCCATCCTAGTGGTGCGCAGGCTCTCGGGCGGCCCGGAGGGGGGGGGCAGACCCGAGCGCGCGCAGGCCCGTGTACAGGCCCAAGGAATAAGCCCCAAAACGCCCTGGAGCTTCGATGCTCGATCCTCCGACCCTCTTTCCTGTTCCTCCTCTTCCTCCCCCCTTCCTGAAGAGAGAAAGAGAGAGATAGAGAGAGAGAGAGAGAGGGATCGGGGGCGCGCGAACATGGATTATCGATCCATGGATTAGGCGCGCGGTCGTCAAATCCATGGATCGGGGGAGGCGCCCTCCCCGAAGTGCGGCCCGTGCCGCCTCGTTCGGCGGCGGCAATCCGCGGTTTCCCCTGGAAACGAGGCCCGTCGCTGATCCACGCCCCCGGAGGAGGAGGAGGAGGAGGAGGAGGAGGAGGAGGAGGAGGAGGAGGAGGAGGAGGAGGATCCATGCTTGGGATCGCCTGGCCATGGGCCCACGTGCGCGCGGGATTCGACGCTCGTGTCCTGCGCGGACCTGCAGGCCCCGGGGGCAGCGACCGGCACCGGCCCTCGCCGAAGCCGCGCTCCCCCGCGAGCGGCCACTCCCCAGGAGCCCCGCCGTGACTGCTGCGCTGGGCGCGAGGCACGAGGCACGAAGCACGAAGCGTTAGGTCGGGCATATCCCCCGACAGACAGAGTTTGGAGGACAAAGAAAACACTGTCAACGAAGATTCAACAAATTGTCAAACAATATTAGAAAAACCGTCCCCAGACGATCTGTTTATTGTTTCCGATATTCCTCCTGTGGAGCGGACAGGCGCGATTTAGACGAAGCGTGCCGGGGTGTGCCGCGAGGGCCCGGCAAGATGGCACCGGAGCGCCCCCCTCCCCCCAAAAAAGCCGTCGAGTGGTGGAACATACAGCAACATCGTGCGGTACGGTGCTGCTGTGCTGCTCGGGAATGCGAGCGGGTACGGCTTGGAGGCGATCCGGCCACGCAGAGGGTGGAGCTACCGTCTGCATCAGCACAAGCACTGTCGACGGCCCGCGCGGACTTCTCGGATCAGCGCTGGGGCCCCATCTCTGGCGCGCGCAGCGCGCCATCTAGTAAGGCTTAGTTCGAGCCTCAATGAAGTATCACACGTGCGAGCAGGATGAGGGGAACGAATCCGGACGTTCCTGGGCGGGGTGGGCTGCCAGGCACCTACCGACGACGAATGCGCGATTGAGGATGGATGTATCCCCCCTGGGCTCATACCCCCCAACATTGCCCCCTGGCCTCCGGGCCCTAACTCCGCTCTCCGGCGGCCGTTCGGAACGATCTGGGCCCTGCAGCTCTTTGCGAGGCGCAGCTGCTGAAGCGCATCCCGAGGTCGGAAAGCCGCAGGGAACCGACGAGCAGGCCCGAAAACCCCGAAACTCGAACCTCGACTCTCCCCCCTGAGCCCATCTCCCCCCTGTTGTTGCCCCTGGGGTGCTCCTGGTGCGCGCGTGGTCGTCGTCGCCGGCGGCGGCCTCATCGGCGGCGTCGGCGCCGCCCGCGCCGCCGCCGCCCGCGTCGTCGTCCGTCGGCGTCGGCGGCGGCGTTGGCGGCGGCATCGCCGTCGGCTTCGACGTGCACGCGGGGAGATCGGGCGCCCCACGCCGGCGGCGCTCGGGGGGGCACTCGGAGGCCCTGGGGCCGTGGCCGCCTTCCGGGGGCCCCAGGTCCAGTCTGGCGCCGGCGGCGCCGGGCCCCGAGCCGCGAGCCGGGCGCGGCCCCGCGGGTGAGGCGGGCATCGGGCGGCAGTTCTGCCTGGCCTGCCCCCGGAGACCTTCTGCCCCAAGGCCAGACCAACGGCGATGCTGCTTTATTCACGGTGAGGTCGGGAAGGTCCCCGGAGACCCTACCCCAAGGCCAGACCAACGGCGGTGCTGCTTCTCACGGTGAGGTCGGGAAGGTCCCCGGAGAACTTCTACCCCAAGGCCAGACCAACGGCGGTGCTGCTTCTCGCGGTGAGGTTGGGAAGCAAAGTGCAGGAGACCACGGGCCACACTTTCCTGCATCTCCAGCCTGCGATATATGGACCGAGCGAGCACGACACCGCGAAGTGCAAAAATTAGCCAGACGAAGGACCAAACCATATGTAGCTGCGAGTGCCGCATTGTGGGTACCGCTTTCGGTGGAGCTCCCTATGGGGAACCGAAGCGTGCGAGGGGTGCGCCGAAATCGGTGCCGCTGGAGCCTTCGGTGGAGCTGCCTATGGGACCACGAAACGCTGTCCTGGGTGGCGGTGACGCATGCGGGCGCTGCCCCTGGAGCCTTCGGTGGAGCTCCCTATGGGGCCATCAAGCGCTGTCCTGGGTGGCGGTGACGCATGCGGACACTGCCACTGGAGCCTTCGGTGGAGCTCCCTATGGGGCCGCGAAACGCTGTCCTGGGTGGCGGTGACGCATGCGGACACTGCCACTGGAGCCTTCGGTGGAGCTCCCTATGGGGCCACGAAACGCTGTCCTGGGTGGCGGCGACGCATGCGGACCCTGCCACTGGAGCCGTCGGTGGAGCTCCCTAAGGGGCCACCTGGGTGGCGGTGAGCATGCGGACCCTGCCACTGGAGCCTTCGGTGGAGCTCCCTATGGGGCCATCAAGCGCTGTCCTGGGTGGCGGTGACGCATGCGGACACTGCCACTGGAGCCTTCGGTGGAGCTCCCTATGGGGCCGCGAAACGCTGTCCTGGGTGGCGGTGACGCATGCGGACACTGCCACTGGAGCCTTCGGTGGAGCTCCCTATGGGGCCACGAACCGTGTGAGAGGTGTGACGTAATGGGTGGCGGTGACGCATGCGGACGCAGCCACGGGGGCCTTCGGTGCAGCTCCCTATGAGGCCACGAACCGTGTGAGGGGTGTCCCGTAATGGGTGGCGGTGACGCATGAGGACGCAGCCACTGGGGCCTTCGGTGGGGCTCCCTATGGGGCCACGAACCGTGTGAGGGGTGTCCCGTAATGGGTGGCGGTGACGCATGAGGACGCAGCCACTGGGGCCTTCGGTGGAGCTCCCTATGGGGCCACGAACCGTGTGAGGGGTGTACCGAACTGATGATGATGGTGATGTTGATGGTGATGGTGATGGTGATGGTGATGGTGATGGTGATGATGATGATGATGATGATGATGATGATGATGATGATGATGATGATGCTGATGCTGATGCTGATGCTGATGCTGATGATGATGATGATGATGATGACGATGATGATGGTGACGGTGATGCTGATAATGGGAATGCGAATGATGAGGAGAGGGAGGGGAGGCAGCGAGAAGAAGAAAGGACGCGGGCGCTCTGTTCAAAACGAGGACCCAACACCACAAAATAATGTTTAAAACAAGCGCGAGCCACGCGTTCCCACAATACCGAAGCCTACATCGCCGTGACCTGCATCGCCGTTAGCCCGTCTACGGCCACAGCCCCAGATCTCCTATGATGTGAGCCTTTCAACCCCGACGGTCTTCCCTCGCCTCTGGCCCTCGAGAGGGGGCTGCATTCGCACTGTCTTCGCCCCTCAGAAGCGGGCCCTCTGGGCGCAAGACCACCCCCCCACTCCCGCGGGAAGCGGTCAGGACCTCTTGGGGCCGCGGCCAAAGAAAAACTCAACGGCGGATGTCTGAGTCGTTCCTCTGACCCAGACCCCCGACGTCGCGATTTTTGCTCCGCAACGTCGACCCCCTGACATCTCTCGAACGGAGGATGGTGCAGTGCATTCGAGAACCAGTCGTTCGCAGGCGTCCCACGCTCAGCATGGAACACCAAACCCTTCCGTGCGCTAAGAAACGCAGTGAGCTGCCACCGCATTCCATGGGCTGGGTCGGTCGTTCTACGTCTGCTGTCTGAGGCGAGACGGCCGAGCGGCACTCGATCGACACACGTACGAAATCTGCCGCTCGAGCCCGCCAGCTTACTGCTGACACTGCTGGCACGCATGGCATGTATTAGACGTGTGGAACTGACGGCTACCGCAGGCGAACTTTGAAGAGCGAAGTGACGACTGATGTATACACACAGCTCGGCGACTTCGGGACGATCGGCATCGGACACGAAATGGCCTAGCGGTCAAGCCTCAGCCCAACATGAGGTCGAAGTTTGGCGACCACACACGGCATCCAGAGTACGGTTAGGTTGAACATGTCCCCCTAGAGGCGGATTTTGGACGAAAGAAATAGTCACACAAAAATGCAAAAATGCTCAAAATCGTCAAACATACTCCAGATATCGTCCCCAGGCTATTTCTTTACTATGTTTGAATACTCCTCCTGTAGGGGGACAGGCCCGACTTAAGAGTACGGAGTGCATGCATCGCCGAAGTTTACTTGGGCCTCGCCGCCTAGAGCTCGCATCCGAGCCCGGGGGTGGGGGGGGGGGGCGTGCCAGGCTCATGCACCGTGCTCCCGAACTGCTTCGGCGACCCTGGGGAGGGCGCAGACCCGCGCGGAAAACATCATAACCAATTTGGGTGGGCTCGTTTTCCACCACCACCACCGCCATACCGCCATAATTAAGTAGAAAGGGGGAGCCTCCTCCTCCTCCTCCTCCTCCTCCTCCTCCTCCTCTTCCTCCTCCTCCTCATCCGCCACCTCCTTCCCCCTTCCAACCGATGGTGGTGGTGGAACACAGGCCCATCACAATTGCCGTACCTCGGCGGCGAGCCCGGGGGGGGGGGCAGTGAGAGGGGGCAGGCCTCCTCGAAAGGGCGGTGGGGCTTCCCAGGAGCAGTCCGAGGAGGGCGGCCTGGTGCGAGCCGTCGCCCGGAAGCTCTCGCGCGCAGTTTTGGTGCCGTCGCCGTGGGCCCGCGGGCTGCAAGCTGTGCAGGTTCAGTGCCCGCACCCACGCGGCCAAAACCTAACGTCAGAAGGGGACTGAGAAATACAAAGTCCGAGCACGGCCCTCACCTCTCCACAGTATCTCGAAAATGGCGAGGGCATGCCTAGAGTACACACCAGAGCATATCAAGTGGAAAACTCGATTCTCCACCGCATCTCTAAAAAGGGCGAGCGCGTGCCTAGAGTACATACCAGAACATATCAAATAGAAAACTCGATGGAAAACCGTAGCTCAGGCCCGCGATATGGAGATCACGATGCGTCCAATGTCGCTTACGCCGCTCCAGCGTACCTGGCGAACAAATCTGCAGTCCAAAAAGAAGAGAGCATTTTCCGGGTTCGCGCCGTCCAATATCTTGTACCTCCCGAGGTGTTCAAATTGGGCCCGAGCGGATGGGGTCGGAGGAGCGCGCCGCATCGCCAGTACATCCGCGATGCGTCAACGACGTCGGGATTGACGAAGTCCTGGTCTGGATTGTGCCACACCGCCCATGCATCGACGATGCGGCGCGATCCCCCGACCCCATCTACTCGGAGCCCATCTGGGTCGGAGGCATTACCAAAATACTGATACCGCTGCTACCCAGACCTCCCCGGGGGTGCGTTTTGACTCGAATTTCAAAGAATTCAGCCGTGGTGACGAGGGCTCTGCAGGACAACGACGGTATCAGTTTCATCCCTGAGATCCGGCGTCAGGAAAAAATGCAACACCGCGAAAAATCACGACCGAAGCCCTAGACTCAATCTTTCTGCGGCATTTTTCGACTCGGATCGATCTGTAATGGTCCTGGGGCCCGAAAAAAGCAAAATCGCCCGTTTTGAAAGCATGAGGATCTTAAGGTTTTCCTCCTCCAACTCTCTTCCTCCTAAGATGGGTGGGCCGCAACCTCGAACCCATCTGAACCGTGACGACGGGCCACTGCGCGGACTCCGCGTCCATGCCCGCCACGCTGCCCGAGCTCGAGATGCCGGCCATGCTGCCGCAGCTGGAGAAGGAGGCCATCCCGTTCTGCATCCGCTCGTCCTGCTCCGCGTCCTCGCTCGCCGGAGCGATGCCGACCAGGAAGCTGTCGACGCTCTCAAGGGCGGAGCCCCGCCTCTTCCTCGCCTCGGATTCGCCGGTGTTTGTTTTCGCTCCCGGAGGAGGAGGAGGAGGAGGAGGAGGAGGAGGAGGAGGAGGAGGAGGAGGAGGAGGAGCTAGGAGGAGGAGGAGGAGGAGGAGGAGAAGGGAGCGAGACCACTGTGCGAATCGAAAGGACGCCAGGCAAACCGGGAGCACCACACGAGCCAACCCGCAGCAAGCAAACTCACGCCCTGGGATTGCCGACGTTGGTGTCGCCATCCCCCTCCCGTCAGTTCACGCGTCACGGCCGTTCTGTGCACCGATTCCCCGGCTTCGCACGCTCGCGGCCTGGAGGGTTCTCATTGATCCACGAGCAGGCACTCACCCAAGCATGGGTCCTGCAGTGATCCCTCTGGCTCTGCCAGCGCGTCGTGCAGATGCATCGCTCATGACCTCAGCCGCTCCCCCGCTCCTGCGCGAACAGCATCGTGACCCTGAGCCACGAGAGACAGGTGCTGGGTGCAGTTATGCTTCGAGCTCCTCCGTCACGAAACGAGGCACTTGTGCACCGCAGGCAGCCTGCGGTGTGACCTCGCGCTCCAGCACAGAGGCAATCGGGCCCCGCCTTATGCCAGTGCGGCCGTTGATGTGGGGCTGGAGGGGCTACCTGACCCCCGACGCCGTGACTCGTTGACGACGTGGCTCAACATAGACTCGGACCACTTCGCCGGGACCAGCTTGTCATCCAGAGTTATTCTTGACGGTCCTGGGGCCCAGCGTGGGCCCCAGGGCGCCGAAAGCGTTCCCAAAGCCCGACGTCGGTATATATATATATATATATATACATATATATACATCTATATACACATCTATATATATATATGTTAAATTCAAGAAACAAAAGAATCCAAACAACAACAAAACAAAAAAACGAGAGGAGGTGCGATCAGCAGAGGAACCGGCAAAAGCATGATTTCTTTGAGGTCCGCGCAGATTTCCCAGATCGGCGCTGGACCCCCCCCTCCCTGGCGCGCGGATGGCCCAGCCCCCTTCCACCAGGCACTCCGCGCGGACTTCCTAGAGAAGTCACGTTCAGGACTGCTTCCTCTAGTTGATTAGGAGGATACTCGCCTCGAGGCCCACCGTGCTGTGGGCGGCTTCGCAAGCAGGGCGGAAGCGTCCTTCAAGCGCCTTCGATGTCGCTCTCCGCCCTGCTCTGCCACCGGCCGTGTCCGCCGTACCGTTGCGGAGATCCTCCGCCCCACCTTTCCCTGGGCGGAGAGCTCCGCCCTGCCCCTTCGCGTCGCCCGGGGGCGCCCCTCCGACACCACCCGAGGTCGGAAAAGGTCCACCAGAGCACCGCGGACCCGAAGTCGGGGGGAAGCCTCGCCTCGAAGCCCCCCCCCTCCCCCAACACGCAGGACGCCACCCCCCACCGCGCTTCCGTGCCCGTGCCCGGGCACAGCGCGCGAGAGCCGGCCGCGGGCACGGACCGAGAGCGCGGAGGCGAGAGCGCGAGACCCGAAGCAGCGGGACGGAGGGGGGAAGCGGCAGGAGAAGGAATTGGGGGCCTGGAAATTGGCACCAACACCAACACAAGGGGTTTGCCTCCACAGGGGGGAGATGATCCTAGGTTCCGGTGTTGGTGGCAATATTTCGGTCGACTTGGAAGCCAGGATATCACCACCGTCACCGAGATCGGGGTCGTCTTCCCTCGGTGGAGGCACACCGCCGATCTTGGTGCTGGTGTCAACCTCCAGGCCTGCGAAGGCAGGCCTCGCCTCGAGGTCGTCGATGACGACCCGCTGGTAGCACAGGAAGCAGACCCGCCCCCGCGGCGCGCGGGCCTCCCCGGGGGCGCCGGCCGCCAGCTCGGAGGGCGCCACCGCGCGGCCGCGCGCGCCCGCCGACAGCGACACCGACAGCGCGCTGCAGCTGTGGCAGACGAGGTTGCCGCACTTCCTTCGGGAAGACACGTCGGGCTGCTGAGGTCGGGGGCATCCCCGTGCTCCTCTGCATGATCACCACCGTCCTCCTGCTCCTCCTCCTTCTGGTTCTTCACCTCCTCCACCTCCTGGGCGTCGTCTTCCGCCTCCTCCTCCTCCTCCTCCTCCTCCTCCTCCTCCTCCTCCTCATGCGGCTCCTCCTCCTCATGCGGCTCCTCCTCATCCTCCTCATCCTTCTACCTCGTCGTGGTCAGCGTCGTCATCTTCAGGGTCGGCGGCACCGGCCGCAAGGCCTTTGCAATAAAGAACGAAATCTCATTCCGACCCCTCAAAAAGCGCCTGCGTACACGAGGGAGGACTGGAGGAACAGCCATGGAAGGACGCAGGGAACATCGGGCCCCTTTCCGAACCCAAGGAGTTCCTCAGTTCAGCGTCCTGGCTGTGAAAGGCAACACAAACCTGATCGGGCGAGAACGGGAAACCACGAGTCGGTCCATTGGGCTCGCCGCTTGGAGAGAAGGAGGAGGAGGAGGAGGAGGAGGAGGAGGAGTAGGAGGAGGAGAAGGAGGAGGAGGAGGAGAAGAACGACGAGAAGGCGGCGAAGGAGGATGACGAGGAGGACGAGGAGGACGGGGAGGAGGAGGAGGAGGAGGAGGAGGAGGAGGAGGAGGAGGAGGAGGAGGAGGAGGAGGAGGAGGAGGAGGAAACGAGAAGGCGGCGGAAAATAAGGAGGAGGAGGCGACGAGAAGGAGGAGGACGAGAAGGAGGAGGAGGAGGAGGACGAGGGCGACGAGAAGACGGCGGATGAAGAGGATGACAGCGTGGATGACAGGCCCGCGAGGGGAGCAGGCAGACACGGAGGAGGGGAGGAATTAGGTGGAGGAGGGCGAGGCATGAGGAGCGGGCACGAGGACGAGGAGGAAGAGAGGGAGGAAGACGGGCACGAGAAGGAGGAGAAACAGGCACGAGGAGGACGAGGCACGAGGAGGAGGAAGAGGCACGAGGAGGAGGAAGAGGCACGAGGAGGACGAGGCCCAGGCACGAGGAGGAGGAGGAGGAGGAGGAGGAGGAAGAGGAGGAGGAGGAGGAGGAGGACGGGCACGAGGAGGAGGACGGGCACGAGGAGAAGGAGGACGGGCACGAGGAGGAGACGAGGAGGAGGACGGGCACGAGGAGGACGAGGAGGAAGAGTCGGAGGAGGACGGGCAGAGGAGGAGGAGGTGGACGAAGTGCCCTCGAGTCCCTTGCTCAGCCTCAGCCCTCAGTCCTGAAAATGCTTTGTAGGGGCCCGGACCCAAATTCCAAAAAGTCTTCCGGGGCTCATGGCGCCCCCAGGGCGCCTTCCCGCGTAGCTTCCTCGGGCCCAGAGCGGCCCGAAGACAGCCGAAGAGGCCTCTGGGCCTCTGACCTAGGTACAACCGAGGCGCGGTGGCGGGATGGGCCGCAGGCCACCAGATCCGCCGCACCCTGTGCTTGCCGCAGGGGTGCACGGCGTGAGAAACTTTAAACACAGCTGTTGCTTCTTTTCAGGGTTCCCAAATGGGCCTGCGGCAGATCCCGCTGGCCACCCGGAAGGGAGCACAGACTTCTCAGGTCGTCGGTCTTCCGACCCGTGAGGGCCCATAGAAGCTTCCCAGGCCCCCGTCTGCCCGCTCCAGGTTCCCCCCCAAAGATGGCGTCCGGGGCACCCCAAAAAAAGGGCCGCAGACTTCCCGGGTCAGCGGCAGTCCCGCTCCAGGACGGCCAAGATAGCCAAGGATGGCCTCCAAGATGCCCCCACGGCGTCTAAGCTTGCCCACAGACGAGCCCGAGACGGCCGCGAGATGTCTCCAAGGCGGCCCAAGATGCACCCAAGATGGCCCAATGCAGCCTCAAGATAGCCCCAAGCGACTCGAGAGGCCCCCAGGAGGCATCCGAGAGAGCCTCCAGAAAAGCCTTAAGAGATCTCTCCTCCTCTTCATTCTCCCCGACGTGCTCCACGACGCGTTTCGACAACGGCTGGGGGCGCACATGCTCCGACGCATAGCTTGGCCGAGCTCCAGCCACGACGTTCGGCCACATAGGCGCTTCCAAGAGGCAGGGGGCGGTGGTGATTCGTCGTATGTAGGCGTCTTCGACCCGCCGACCCCTGTTGGCTTGCCGCACTGGTGCACGGCGTGCGAGACGTTGGCGTGCTTTCGGTCCTGCTCGCTAGAGGCTCCCAGTGAGGGGGTCCCGGCCGACCGCGCGGGCCGCCCGGAATGCCGAGTGAAAAACGTCTCGCGCTGCCCAACTCGCATCCAAGACGTCCAAGATGGCCCCGGATGGCCTCCAAGATGCCTCCAAGACTGCCAAGATGGCCCCAAGAAAACCCAAGATTGCCCCAAGGTGTCTCCAAGACAGCCCAAGATGCATCCAAAACGGCCTAGGACGGCCCCAAGATGGCCCACGAGGGCCCAAGAGGCCTCCAAGAGGATCTCAAGGAAGCCGAGACCGTTGACCATTGATTTCCCGTCGGTATTTTAATGATTTTCGCGCTCTCGCCTCTTCGGGCTTCCGACGCTCCCAGACGGCTCAATAGGCCCCCAAGATCGCCGACGGCCAAGAGGCCCCCGAGAGACCCGCAAGACGGCCCAAGAGGACTCCAAGACGGCCCCATAGACCTCCAAGACGGCCCTGAATCGCCCAAAGAGGGACCCACGACTGCCCAGAGAGGGCTCCAAAACGGCCTCCGAAGCCCACAAGGTCCCCCAGAGGCCCCCAGAGGCCCCCAGGAGGCCCCCAAGAGGCCCCCAAGAAGCCCCAGGAGGCTCCCAGAAAGGCCCCTTCAGAGGCCCCCAAGAGGGAGGCTCCAAGGAAGCCCCCAGGAGGCCTTAGGAGGGCCTCAAGAAGCCGCCTGCTCCTCCTCCTCCTCCTCCTGCTCCACGTCCTCCTCAAACTTCTTCTCCTCCCTCTCGTCCTTTCCCTTCCTCTCCCAAGTGTTCCCCCAAGGGGTTCCGCAACGGCTGGGGGAACTCACAGTACAATGGCTTGGCCAGGCCTTGGCCCAACGTTTGGCCGCATGGGCGTTTCCAGAAGGCGGGGAGCGGCGGTGATTCGCAGTCGGCGTCTTGGATATAGGCAGCCACATGTGCACCCGACCCCTGCAGGTCAGATGTCTCACAGACCAGCTGGAGCTCAGAATGTGCAGGATGCCTGCAGCCAGGTCCACCCCGGCGGGGGTGTCCGATACCCCAGGGTCGGCTGGACCCGCAGCGGGTGGGGTTCGCAAGTGGTCGGCAAGTAAACATCGACTTGTCGAGGTCCACACGGACTTCTTGGATCGGTGCTGAACACCTCTGGCGGCGCCTCCGGCGCCCCCGTGGCGCGCTCCGCGCGCTGGGGAGGGGAGGTGCAGCGCCGATCCCAGAAGTCCGCGCGAACCTCCGAGAGTGTATGTCTATGCCGATTCTTCTTTTCCGGCTTCCTGCAATGGTGCCGCCGGAGCCAGGGCTTGAACTGCACCCCGCAGCGCATGCACTGCAGCGAATCCCAGTCTGGTATCCTGGGGCAACAAAAGATACCCATACGGCTGCTCCCCGGACCTCTCCCGGTGCGCGTTCTACCCAAGATTCCGAGGCGAATCAAGCCTTGACGACGAGGACCTCCCAGAAGGCCAACAAAAAACTAAAACTAACTGCTACCTTCCCAGACATTCAATGTCTGGGCTTTTCCCCAAGGTTTTGGCAGAATTCAAACATTTTCTCTCACCAGAATCTCCAAAAAGGGGGGGGCTGGGGGCCGGGGGGAGGCGTCTCCGAGGCCCGGCGACGGTCCAAAACGGTTCGGAATCCACTCACTATGGTGTTCTGGCTCGAGCTAGTCCAAATATATATAACCCTCACTATAATGCTCTGGCTCGACTCGGTCCAGAGATGAAGCTCCCTATTGAGTTCCGGCTCGATTTCAGCCCTCCCAGATCCATAAATGAAGCTCACTATGGTGTTCTGGTCCGGTTTGGTGCAGACATGAAAGAAACTCCATCTTGCGTTCTGACTCGATTTCCTTTCACCAGAATCTCCAAAGGGGATGCTGGAGGGAGACGTCCCACCGGTCCAGCAGCTGTCTGCAAGCACTCTGGAGTTCTGACTCGATGTGGTCTTGAAATGAAGCTGCCTATAGTGTTCTCGCTCGATTTCGGACCTCCCAGATCCAAACATGGGACTCACTATGGTGTTCTGGCTCGATTTGGTCGGCGTTCTGACTCGATTTCGGTTCGAAGATTCCTTTCGTTAGGATCTCCATAAAGGGGGGCAGAATGTTCTGGGTCGATTTCAGCCCTCGCAGACCCAGAAGTGAGACTCACTCTATGGTTCTGGCTCGATGTGGTTCACAACTGTAGTTCGCTAGAATGTTCTGGCTAGATTTCAGCCATGACAGATCCAGAAATGAGACTCAATGTGGCGTTTTAATTCGGTTTGGTCCAGAAATAAGACGCACTATTGCGTTATGCCTCGGTTTCAGTTCAAAGATTCTCTTCACCAGAATCTCCACAAGGAGGGGCTGGCTCGATCTCAAGCCTCCCGGACCCAGAAATGAAACTCACTAGCACGTTCTGGTTCGATTCGGTCCAGAAGTGGGACTCACTCTAGTGTCCTGGCTCGATTTCAGTTCAAAGATTCCTCTCGCCAGAATCTCCACAAGGGGGTCCGAGCGTTCTGGCTCGATGTCAGCACTCGCAGGTCCAGGAATTAGGTTCATTATGGTACTCTGACTCGATTTCGGCCGTCGCAGGTCCAGAAATCAATTCAACTATGGTGCTCTGGCTCGATGTGCTTGCGGAATGAAGCTGACTATAATGTTCTGGCTCGACTTCGGCCTTCCAGATCCAGAAATGAAGCTCACTCGATCGTTCTGGCTCGATGTCAGCACTCGCAGGTCCAGGAATTAGGTTCATTATGGTACTCTGGCTCGATGTCAGCCGTCGCAGGTCCAGAAATTGTGGCAGGGACCTCGGATTCTCACCATTCAAGCTGTCCTAGGTCCAGAAAGTGTAGCATTAGATCGGGCGCGTCCCCCTACAGGCGGATTATGGAGGAAAAACAAACAATGCTAAAACAGTATTCAAACAAACGCCCCGAAATAGAAACAAATGGTCCCCATACTATTTCTCACTGTTTTTGAAGATTCCTCCTGTAGAGGGACAGGCCCGACTTAAGCGCAGCAGGGCCATCGGCTTCTCACCCTTCCAGCTGCCAGCTGCCAGGAGTGGGGTCGCTCCGTCCCTAATGCTGTTCCAAGCGCGTTTACGTCACCATGACAACATCAGGAACGTCGCCCTTATCAGCAAGTTCA